TCAAGATGAACATAATATATTTTTTTAAATTATTGAAAAAGTATTGCAAAATCATTTTTCCTGTGTCAATAATTAATATAATATACTATAAAATTTACAAAAATTCAATTGTATTTCAATCTAACTTAACTACTGAAATGTTTAAATATTATGTCTGTAGTTCAAATAAAAAATTTATATAATAAATAAATAAAACCTACTTACTTGCTCCTCTAACCGGTGTGAAGAAATACAAAAATAAACAACTTTGAAAAAACAAACATTTTCCGAACACCTTCCGTGTCCTTCCTCAGGTAAAACGGCTGGATTCCTTATTCTAAAACACCATTATGAAATTTTAAAAAGAACAAAATTCGAACAATGATTCGATTGTGCGATGTCCACTGCGCATGCATTGTATCTGTCGTGTCCCCATCATTCAGAATCGCATTTACTCTTCTCATACGTATGTGATGCACTATTTTTACTATGACCGTTACATGTCCTCGTGCATCCTCCTACACCAATTAAATCCTTAGTAATCATTATGTAATAAGGCTTGCCAAACTATCGAAAGAGCCATTTCTTCTCAGGAGTTAAGAATACGAGTGACTCATGTGACCCATTTCAATATAAAATAGCCACTTTTAGATCATTGGTCAGAAGAGCGTACACTCAATCATCCACTTGAGAGGCACTTGATAATGAGTTAGTTAAACCACATTGAGAGGATTACTAATATTCACGGCTACCATAATCTTATTCCAAAAATCTCGGACCGCCACAAAAGAACAGTAATGAACCTCAACACACAGACGAAGGCACATGGAGGGAACCAAGATATAGATGTAAAAAGAATACCGATTACGTTCAACCTGGCCTTGAGATCCATTTACGCATCTATCGTCAAAAAACGCAAGATCAACATCACATACAGGAGAATCCCAACAGTATTTGACGTGTTGCATAATGGAAAAGACCCATCTGACCCAAGTAAATTGCCAGGCATATACTGAATCCCAGTGAGAGCTGAGAGATTCAGTAGGAATTTAATCTACATAGGATCAACGAAACGCTTGATGGGGACCAAAATTAAGGAACACAAAGCAGGTATACAGTACAACAGAGCCACCACGTCACTCGCGATTTATGCATCAAAACAGGGCATCAATGTAGACTTCGCAGGGGCATCATTAATAGTCAAAACAACACGCATGGAACACCTCAAATGGCTAGAAGCGATAGAAATATATAAGGCGCACACTACATCTATGTGCATTAACTCACAAGAAGAAATGGCTCTTTCGATAGCTTGGCAAGCCTTATTACATAATGATTACTAAGGATTTAGTTGGTGTAGGAGGATGCATGAGGACATGTAATGGTCATAGTAAAAATAGTGCATCACATACGTATGAGAAGAGTAAATGCGATTCTGAATGATGGGGACACGACAGATACAATGCATGCACAGTGGACATCGCACAATCGAATCATCGTTCGAATTTTGTTCTTTTTAAAATTGCGTAACAGTGTTTTAGAATAAGGAATCCAGCCGTTTTACCTGAGGAAAGATACAGAAGGTGTTCGGAAAATGTTTGTTTTTTCAAAGTTGTTTCTTTTTGTATTTCTTCACACCGGTTAGAGACTCAATTAAGGTTTTATTTATTTATTTATTATACACACCCTGTTATAAAGAAGTTATAAAAAAATTTATATAATCATTCATTCTGTATCATAATCATAATCAATATTGTACAAAAGATATAAAGCAAATTAAAATGCTATATCAAAGAAAGCATAACAGATAAATGTATACACAAAATTTACTACATTTTAATGATCTTTATAGATATTAAGCAGGATACCAACAAAAACCTACATATCCTTGCCATTATTGCTCTACTTAATGTTCAAAATAAATTGTAACAAAAAATGAATAAACAAAACAATTAAATGATGATAAACACATCATTTATAGTCACACTGTTTCAAATACATGGATTAAATCAAGAAAAACTTTTATGAAAACAATAAACTAAGTTACTAGTTCACCCAAATTTATATAAAGTTAAAGGATCTAGAGAAAGTAATATTTATGCATCAGACCTTCTCTCTCAGAAATTTGATATGCAATGGCTCATTTGGCAATCCCTAAACCAATTTCATATGGAAGTTGATAGATTTACGTTTAATTTTAAAAAATGAGGTTATATTGGCAAATCTAATCTTTGTGAATGCAAAGAATGTCAGACAATAGAACATTTAAATATTTATTATGGACTATATAACAATCTCTTTAAGAAGTACCATATCTGCCATTTGGCCATTCAGTTTTCATAAAACTGAGTTATAGTTTTGTTACAAAGATGTAAAAAAAATTACCATGAGCTTTGACACTCTCTGAACATCAATTACAACAAATTAGATGAAAGTTTGAACAGTTACATTGTCAAAAAGCTCACAAACAATAATATACCATTGATACCATTCTATACTAACTTTAATTTAACAAAGTAAAAACTTAAAAAGAAATTTTAGAATATATATTAAACAAAATCAGTCATCATCATCATCATATTATTATTGTGTAATTTTAAAAACAGCATGAGAAAAGAGAACTTCACAGTTAAGTATTTTGTGGGCATGGAAATGTCAAGAAAGACATAGAAAGACTGGAAAGTGTTAAGACTGTTTCTAGATGTGGGCCGCTGGTCCCATTGTGAGTTTTCCGATTGCGTTTATTTGCGAATATTCCGGAGCGTTTTCTCTGTGATCTTTCGTGCTTTATCGTTGAGCTCTTGGGAAAGTGACTACCTACCTCCACGCGGTGCGGCCTGTTAGTACCTTTTAGGGAAGCCAAAGGTAGTTTCGACTTGTTAAAGGCCTTTTTCAAGGCTATTTGTTGTGTGGAATGGCAAGTAAGCCACCACACTTTGCGGTTCTCGCCCGGACAGGGGGAGAAGAAGGGCTTGCGGAAGAGACACAGGCATCAACTCCGTCTCTGCCAAGTCGGCAGGATGGATCGCACGGCAATAAGGTCATTGCCGCCAAAAAAGTTCAAGATGAACTGCATGAGTATCTTGTGGCTAATGCCCATTCCAAAATTGGGACAAGGGATCATATTCCCCAGATATTAAGGAGAGTTGAAACAATTATAGAACTTTTAACTGAAAGTGAAGAACTAAAGAAGATGGTGTCCAGCATACAGAAGAATTTGGAAGAACTGAAGGTTGCAGAAGAAAGAAGAGGAGGAAGATCTTTTGCGCAAGTGGTCGCCAGTCCCCCCTTGGTTAATAAGAGGGCGGTGGAGCCAAGGGAAGTGGTTATTGTGCAGCCTACAGAAGGAGACAGTGATGCTGAAAAAACTAAGATGACAATAAAAGAAAAAATTAATCCTCAGGCCTTGAAGATTGGAGTTAGAGGACTCAGAAAATTACGAAATGGGGCTATTGCCATTGAAGTTGAAAAGGCAAGTGATAAGTTAAAGTTACAAAAGGCAGTGGTCGAAATTCCTGGAATGACTGCTCGTGAGCCTAAAAAACGCACACCAAAAGTAATCATTCACTCAGTACCTAAGGATGTAGAGAAAGGTGAGATTTCAAAGTTTGTGTACCAACAAAATGAAATATTGCAGGACAATAATACTGGACTTGAGGAATTTGAAAAGGGTTTCTTGGTAAGATTCCCTCTTGGAAACAGAAACAGGTCCACATCTAGTTGGGTGGTGGACGTCAGCCCTCAAAATAGAATTAAATTGTTAAAGTTAGGAAAGTTAAATTTGCAGTGGGTGAGGTGTCCAGTAGAAGATTTTGTTCCTATTGTGCAATGTTTTAACTGCTGTAGAATGGGGCATTTTGCCCGGGATTGTAAGCAAGAGACTCCCACATGTAGCCAGTGTGGAGAAGGACATAGATACAAGGATTGTCAGAATAAAAATACCATTAAAATGTGTTGTAATTGTAAGAGGGACAAATTGGCTGACACTCGGCATAATGCCCTTGATAGGAAATGTCCGTTAGTTTTGAGGGCGAAGGCAATTTTGATTAGTCGAACCGATTATGGAGATGGAGCATATTAGTGACATAGAAGAAATTAAGGTTATTCAAGGAAATTTGCAGAGGGCAATTGCAGCTACCTCGTTGCTTAATAAAAGGTTAGAATCGAAGGATATAGCTCTTCTGCAAGAGCCGTATACAGTTAAAGAGAAGGTTGCATGTCTTAGTGGGAGGATTCAAGTTCTTCAACATGGCGGAGTCAAACCGCTGGCAGCCATAGCAGTGTCAATAGTGGGTGTGGATGTTCACTTCCATTCTGAACTTAGTAACGAACAGTG